TGTGAGTCCAAATGACTCCAGGCTGCGCACCTGGTCCTTCAGGGAGCACAGTTACCCCCATTCAGGACCAGAGATCCTCCACCTGCCCGCCTCCTGTCCCCAAAGCAATTACTTCTGTCTTGTCAGATTCCAACCTCAATCTGTTAGCCGCCATCCAACCTCCAACCGCCTCCAGGCACTCACACAGGACCTTCACTGCCTTCACTGGTTCTGATTTGGAAGAAGGTAGAGCTGGGTATCATCCGCATACTGATAGACACCAGCCAAATCCCTGATGATCTCTGGTGACTATGTAGATGTTGAAGCATGGGGAGGACAGAACCCTGAGGCACCCCCACAGAGTGAGGGCCCAGGGGTCTGAACACTCATCCCCCACCACCACTTTCTGAACACGGCCCAGGAGGAAGGAGCGGAACCACTGTATAACAGTGCCCCCAGCTCCCAGCCCCTCAAGACAGTCAAGTGAAATAGGGAAATCTTGAGTCAATTGCAACCTCCCCACCTCACCTAACTCAAAGGATTGTTGCAAAGAAAAAGTGTGTGAGGGAATGGATCAACATTTTCCACATATAAATGGAACGAAATGAAATTTTATCTGTAAGCTGCCTTGAGTCCCTGTCAGGGGGAAAGGTGAAGAAGATGGAGAAGGCGAAGGAGGATGGAAACTGTGAGAATGATCAGGGACATACCAGAGTAAATCCTATTGAACTCAATGGGACTTACTTCTGAATAGGCAGTGTAAGGCTCACCTGGAGAGTATGCAGAAGCTGCTTTAGGACGAGTGAGACCTATTGGCTCTAACTGGCAGCAGCTCTATGGGACTCCTCTCTTCCTTAGGTCCCAATCCCTCTTGCCCACAAAACACTCCCCATGATAACCTCCTGCATCTTATATGTTTATATAGAAAACGGATTTCTCCTTTTCTTCTTTTAAATGATGCCACATTGTTCCACAGCCCTTCTTTAAATTTTTAAACAACCCAAACGCCAATTTCGAGTGTTCAAGGTGGGGGTGGGGGGAAAGTCGCATTTAGCATGCAAAGTGGTGAAATTAGGAAATTCCAAATGTTTGCAAATACGTTCACTCTGGCTCTGTGAAATGTAAAGAAATTAGACTGCATAGCAAGGTTCCATCTGGCTCCGGGAAGAAGGATGACTAAACTACAGCTGTCAAAAATCTTTCCCTTTCCTTTTTTAAAAGAATCCATACAATTATCCTGCAAATTCTGACGCTCTCTCACTCTGCTCTGACCCTTTGGTGGATTCTTCGTGTGTGTCCCGTCCCCCCCATGCCAGGGGAATGTGGCCACAGATCATAGGGAGATGATCAATTCATTTGCAGGTTCAGCTCATAATGGCTTATCTCTCAGCAGTCAGAGACAGCTAACCCAAAATCTAGCAGAGAGGGAGGGGAGCGAGGTTCAAGGCTGGCCCAGCTTCCAAAACAGCCAGAGTGGGACTGATTGGGGCTGTTTCAGTCTGCGTCCAGTTCCAGCCGACACTTATTTCCCAAAGCAATGGGAAAGTTGGGCAGCCTTTCCGAGAAAAACAGCATTAGGGGAGAACTGATTTGACTCGCTGTTTGCGGAAGCATTTTACAGCGGAATCCGAAGTCAAAAAAGCAAAACACCGCCTCCTCTCTTTTTCTGGACAAATTCTCAGCAGTGCTTGCAGATACTCTTTGCTTATGTTGTGTGTGAGAGCATTTATATTATATGTGAGTGTTTATATATATAGCTGTTGGCATTTGTCTGTTACTAAAGACAAACCTAGACAGCATCTTAAAAAGCAGAGACATCACCTTGCCGACAAAGGTCCGTATAGTTACAGCTATGGTTTTCCCAGTAGTGATGTATGGAAGTGAGAGCTGGACCATAAAGAAGGCTGATCGCCGAAGAATGGATGCTTTTGAATTATGGTGCTGGAGGAGACTCTTGAGAGTCCCATGGACTGCAAGAAGATCAAACCTCTCCATTGTGAAGGAAATCAGCCCTGAGTGCTCAGAAGGACAGATCCTGAAGCTGAGGCTCCAAGACTTTGGCCACCTCATGAGAAGAGAAGACTCCCTGGAAAAGACCCTGATGTTGGGAAAGATGGAGGGCACAAGGAGAAGGGGATGACAGAGGACGAGATGGTGGGACAGTGTTCTCGAAGCTACCAATATGAGTTTGACCAAACTGCGGGAGGCAGTGGAAGACAGGAGTGCCTGGTGTGATCTGGTCCATGGGGTCACGAAGAGTCGGACACGACTAAACGACTAAACAACAACAAAGAGAATATGGCCTGGGCAGTGTGTCTGGAGGTCCTGGCCTGCCCAGACATTGAGACCCCCCTCTCGGCCCCACTGAGGTTGTCCAAAGGAAAGCAGAGCAAGACATCTGGCACCGGCTTGGCTGCAGGAGTACAAGGCACCATCCAACTGTTTTTGGGGACTCCAGTCTGGATTTGTTTACAACTTAGCCTTTTCTTCTCCTGGGAATTTACCTTAGCGAGGACCTCACTTGAAAAATCAAGATAGCTCAGGTGGTCAGAAAGGCCCAACAGAGACTTCATTTCCTCAGGGTCTTGCGAAAAAATAATGTTAAACAACAACTGATGAACTTCTTTTACCACAATAGAAAGTGTCCTCTCATATTGTATCACAGTATGGTACGTTGGCTTGACAGCCACAGACAGAAAGTCTCTACAGAGGGTGGTGAATACAGTACATGATATCATGGGCTGTCCTTTGAGTCGGCTAGATGACATCGCAAGGGATCATTGCCTTAGGAGAGCGAGAAAAATTATCAGGGATGACTCACACCCTGACCAGCACCTCTTTAATCTTCTACCCTCGGGCAGGAGATATAGAAGTATAATCAGCCATAACAACAGCCTAAAAAATAGCTTCTATCCGTGGGCTGTTAGGCTGTTGAACAGAAAATAGTAGTAGTAGACCTGAACCAATGGATTCAAATGACAAGAAAAGAGACCCTTTAATGAAATATCAGGAAGAACTTTCTGGTGGGAAGAGGTGTTTGACAGTGGAACAGGCTTCCTTGGGAGGTAGTGGGCTCTCCTTCGTTGGAGGTTTCCAAACAGAGATCACATGGCCTTTCCTTAGCTGTGATTCCTGCATTGTGGGGGTTGGACTAGATGACCCGCAGGGTCGCTTTCAACTCCAATGTTCTATGATCTCATGATTCTACCATCCTACAGCTGAGGCCCCGGGACAAACCCACAAGCAACGTCAGAAGCTTTTAAAGACCTGCAGGAGTCTAAAACTGAGTCAGAGATGACAGGCATAAATCTCTCCCGCCCGCCCCCAGCCCTGAGCTCCTTTCCTTCCTCGCTGAGCCGACGGCTTTTTACAGCGAGCGAAACAGACCCAGAGCGGGTGCCGAGACGCCTGGTCCTGGCTGCTCCTCGGATGATCTTGCAATGTTATGACAAAACCGTGAGCCATTATTCCAGATGCCTGCCAGTCACCAGGCCTCTGCCATTCTGTCTCAAATGAAGCGTCTCCGCGTCTGTCAGATTAAATCCTGGAGCTCCTTCATTCAGGGCAGAGCAGTTTGTTTATTTATTTCTGGCACAGGCAGGTTTCATCCTCCCTCCCTCCTGCCCAGCCCTATACTGAGGCTGCTGAGGCTGCCACACTTCAAAAAAATATGATACAGAGCTGTGGGTTTCCACCACCCAGTGAGCAGAGGGGTAGCCAACGTCTCCGCTACAGAAATGTTGGGGGAAACTTGTGGGGAAAAGAGACCTGGAATTCTGCCTAGCCCAAAGCAGTCACTGCAGCCACACGAGTACCTTTACGGTTCCATCCAGCGTCTCATTGACCTATGCAATAAAGGTAAAGGTAAAGGGACCCCTGACCATTAGGTCCAGTCATGACCGACTCTGGGGTTGCAGCGCTCATCTCGCTTTATTGGCCGAGGGAGCCGGCGTACAGCTTCCGGGTCATGTGGCCAGCATGACTACGCCGCTTCTGGCGGACCAGAGCAGCGCACAGAAACGCCGTTTACCTTCCCGCCGGAGTGGTACCTATTTATCTACTTGCACTTTGACGTGCTTTCGAACTGCTAGGTTGGCAGGAGCAGGGACCGAGCAAGGGGAGCTCACCCCGTCGCGGGGATTTGAACCGCCGACCTTCTGATCAGCAAGTCCTAGGCTCTGTGGTTTAACCCACAGCACCACCCACGTCCTCCTCTCTCCTGCGGGTGAGGGAAGCACCCTGTTGCAACAGTTCAATAAAGATCAAACTTACTAGCTGCTTTGCTTCTCAGTATTCTCTGGTTGGCCTCTGTTATTCTCTCCTACCAATAGGGAACCTATGTAAGGACTCTATATGGGCTCTTGGATACCCCATAAGGGAAAAGGGCAATTTTTGTTTACAACAGATGGTGTGCATACACACTTCTTCAGATACCTTCAGATATCTGAAGATACCTTCAGATATCTGAAGAACTGTGCGTGCACACGAAAGCTCATACCAATAACAAACTTAGTTGGTCTCTAAGGTGCTACTGGAAGGATTTTTTAATATATTTTTTTGACTACAGCAGACCAGCACTGCTACCTACCTGTAACTAGAACCTTGATCAAAAGGTCCCTGCCCCGAGGAGCTTACAATCTTTAGTATGACACAGGGAGGGAACAGAGAATGGTTGAGGTCCAGGGTAGATCCTGAGTCCTCCTGCGAGACATAAGCCAGAGTCTCTGAGTTTAGACTTTGGGATTCCCAGACATTTCCCCATCAGCCCCCCTTCCCCTTTTCTGCAGTACGGCAATGGAGGTGATGCTATTACAATTCCAAAGGGAATGTCAAGCAGGGAGGGAGGGGGAAGAGAGAGAGTGGAATTCTGGTGGAGACGGAAGATGGAAGGAGGCTTGGAAAGGGAGTTTGAAGGGGGGGCAGGTGAGAGTCGGTTGAGAGCGGTGGGTTCTAGAAGGTGGCACGAGGGGGGGGGTCTGGAGCTGAGCTGGACTGAGAAGCAGTAGCACAGCCACCGTTCAATGTGGCCGTTCAATGCCGAAAGAAGGGGTCTCTCCCAACTTGGCAGCCTTGATTCACCCTTGATTCAGGTGAGCCATGGAGTCAGGGCTTGGCTTCTACAGAAATGGTACCTCAGGTGAAGAACTTCGCTTCAGGATGAGGACAGAAATCGTGCTCTGGTGGCAGCGGGAGGCCCCATTAGCTAAAGTGACGTTTCAGGTTAAGAACAGTTTCAGGTTAAGAACGGACCTCCAGAACGCATTAAGTTCTTAACCCGACGTACCACTTTACTGCTAAAGCCCAGATGCCTCACACCACAGAACTGGGCTATGCCTGATTATCGTCTCCCAAAGCAACTTGTTGTTGTTTAGTCGATTAGTTATGTCTGCCTCTTCGTGACCCCAGTGAGCAGTGAGAAAAGGTGCAGGCCTCGGCAAAGGGTTAGAACCACGGAATTGCAGAGTTGGAAGGGATCCCAAGGGTCATCTAGACCAACCCCCTGCAATGCAGGAATCTCAGCTGAAGCAGCCCTGACATAGGGCCGCCCAACCTCTGCTTTAAAACTTCCAAAGAAGGCACCTTTTATCATATGTGGTGGACGTGTAAGGTAACAAAAGCATTCTGGGAAATGATATATAATGAATTGAAAAAAATATGTTTAAAATAACTTTTGTTAAAAAAACCACAAGCTTCTTTATTAGTAATTGAAGTTACCAAGATCCCAAAGGAGCAGAAAAGACTTTTTATGTACGCAGCGACACCCAGACGGATGTTCCTAGCCCAGAGATGGAAAGAAGACAAAGTCCCTACAAGAGAAGAATGGCAAACTAAGCTGTTGGACTAAACCGAAATGGCAAAACTGACTGGAAAACTCAGGAACCAAGAAGACCAAAGCTTTAATACAGTGGTACCTCTGGATGCAAATGGTATCCATTTCAGAGCCCTGTTCGCATCCTGAAGTGAACGTAACATGTGACTGCATGTATGTGAGTGTGCGGGTCGCGTTTCGCCGCTTCCGCACATGCGCGTGACGTCATTTTGAGCATCTGCGCATGCGTGAGTGGCGAAACCCGGAAGTAACGCATTCCGTTACTTCAGTGTCGCCGCGGAACACAACCCAAAAATGCTTAACCTGAAGCGTATTCATCCCGAGGTATGACTGTAAAGAATGGGAAAAAATTATAACTTACTTGAGAGACCACTGTAAGAAGATGAAAACATCAGGAGGATTGCAATAACACTTGTAACGTAGAAGATACTACAGATAAAACGGAGAGACGTAAAATTTGGATGATGAAATAATATGCAGTTGAAAAAGTTTATAATAGGACCCATGGAGGGGAAGGTGTGAAGTCTTAGAGATTCGGAGAAATCTCTAAATATGGATATTCATTTTGCATTGTTATAACTCTACACTTGCAAAACCAAATACAAATTATTTCCAAAAAAAGACTTCCAAGGAAGGAGAGTTCACTGCCTCTCGTAGGAGTCCGTTCCCCTGTCAAACAGCTCTTGCTGCCAGAAAGTTCTTCTTGGCATTGAGTTGGAATCTCCTTTCTTGTAGCTTGAAGAGCGTCTGGATTCTGGCCTCAAGACAGGCCCTTCCAAGAGATCAGACTGGCAGCACTGACGAAGAAGAGCGATGCCAGTCTGCCCGGGGAATGGGCATTGTGTCATTACTGCAGGGACCAAAGCAGACTCATTTGAGCTGTGTGACAGTAACTGGAAACTGGAGACAGATTCGCTTGTCTCCATGGAGACCGCACACTTACAAAACTGAGTGCGATCAAACAGCTGCTACCCAGACAGCCTTGCAGGAGGAAGCGAAAAGTTTCAAACTGCATGTGTGTCGCTTGAGAAGACTCCACTGGGCATCGCGAAAGTCTCTCGCCTTCCCAGAAACGAACACCTGTTTCATTTTCCTAAAACCAAGCAAAACCCCCGATACACTGATTAAGTTTGCTTGAGAAAATGGAATTTATTTATTTTTTTAGACAGGATGTCTAGAAATGTCTTTAAATATTCTTCCATCCTTTATGGGAGGGGTGGTTCTAGGTTCAGACTGCAACCCAATCCATCTAGGGCATATCGTCAAGTTAGCATTTGTAAACACAGCAAATTAGACGTTTGCATTAGGAGGCGTGAAGCCAGCTTTCAGAGCAAAGCAGTGCAATCTTGCACTGAGCCAACCTGGTAGACTTAACGGGTTTTATTTACAGATTTAAGGTCCGTATAGTTAAAGCCATGGTTTTCCCAGTAGTGATATATGGATGTGAGAGCTGGACCATAAAGAAGGCTGATCGCCAAAGAATTGATGCTTTTGAATTATGGTGCTGGAGGAGACTCTTGAGAGTCCCATGGACTGCAAGAAGATCAAACCTATCCATTCTGAAGGAAATCAGCCCTGAGTGCTCACTGGAAGGACAGCTGAGGCTCCAATCCTTTGGCCACCTCATGAGAAGAGAAGACTCCCTGGAAAAGACCCTGATGTTGGGAAAGATGGAGGGCACAAGGAGAAGGGGACGACAGAGGACGAGATGGTTGGACGGTGTTCTCGAAGCTACAAACATGAGTCTGACCAAACCGTGGGAGGCAGTGGAAGACAGGAGTGCCTGGCGTGCTCTGGTCCAGGGGGTCACGAAGAGTCGGACACGACTAAATGACTAAACAACAACAATTTACAGATTTATGTCAAGAACAGAATTGTACAGTCAGGAAGGGACCCCGAGGTTCATCAAGTCCATCCCTCTGCAAGTCCCAAGATCGCAACACTCTTCGAGAACTCCTGCATTAAGAAAATGCCACCGTTTATTTGAATTGGTGTCAAAATGGAACAGATTGATTGACAGCCTCTGTGGCTATGGTCAAGTGATTTCCCAAGAGCCAGAAATAAATGTAAAGATGCCATGCTGATTGAAATAAGGCTCTTCTAGTATCTTCCTCATCATTTAGTGGCTCTCTCCGTTCTTGCCTATAATCCGATTAAAAATATTCATGCTTGTTCCCTTATGGTGCTACTCCGTGCTAGCTTACTCGAGAGCAAGTCCCATCAAGTTCAAGCGAGCTTTTTCTTGCGTGAGTCTGTACAGATTTGCAGCCGAACAGCCCAGGAACTCTGGCCCTCCAGTTGCTGTTGAACTACAACGCCCATCATACTTTTTACAAAGCAGTTTTACAATCAATTTAATATTTCGAAGTTTGACTTCCTGCAGTTCCTTAAATTTACTTTTTAATATCTTCTGTATATCCAAATTCATTTAATTCGCTCATTTAATTATCCACTTTAAATATATACTCTCGTTAAACTGCAGGTTATTACAATAATCCTGCCAATGTTTTTACCTGTTTGCAATTTATCTGTTAATATTCAAGAAACCATTTCCATTCTTTTATAAAAAGTTTGTTATCATGATTTCTTATTCTTCCGGGAAGTTTTGTCATTTCTGCATCATCCATAAGTTTTTGTATCCATTCTTCCTTTGCTGGAACTTCTTCTTCTTTCCAATTTGGGGCAAGTTGCATTCTTGCCGCTGTAGTAGCATGTTGTTGTTTAGTCGCTTAGTCGTGTCCGACTCTTCGTGACCCCCTGGACCAGAGCACGTCAGGCAATTCTGTCTTCCACTGCCTCGGTGGCAATTCTGTCTTCCACTGCCTCCCGCAGTTTGGTCAAACTCATGCTGGTAGCTTCGAGAACACTGTCCCACCATCTCGTCCTCTGTCGTCCCCTTCTCCTTGTGCCCTCCATCTTTCCCAACATCAGGGTCTTTTCCAGGGAGTCTTCTCTTCTCATGAGGTGGCCAAAGTCTTGGAGCCTCAGCTTCAGGATCTGTCCTTCCAGTGAGCACTCAGGGCTGATTTCCTTCAGAATGGAGAGGTTTGATCTTCTTGCAGTCCATGGGACTCTCAAGAGTCTCCTCCAGCACCAGAATTCAAAAGCATCCATTCTTTGGTGATCAGCCTTCTTTATGGTCCTGCTCTCACTTCCATACATGACTACTGGGAAAACCATAGCTTTTACTATACGGACCTTTGTTGGCAAGGTGATGTCTCTACTTTTTAAGATGCTGTCTAAAAAAGTAGAGACATCACCTTGCCAACATGAATAAATTTCCATACAATTTAGTTAGTTCTGTCCTTGTAATTCCCAAAAGAAAAGCTTCTGGTTGTTGTTGTTTTACAAAAGTTATTTTGAACATCCTTTTCAATTCATTGCACAGTGCTTAGCACATGTCTGGAGTAAAAAAATTTCTTGTAGCCATAGCTCTAGAAGTCAGAATCTGTGAGAAGAATTCATTAGGATGTGTACAGAAGCTAGGAGGGGATATATTTATTTGATATTATCCTCCCTCCTTCACATTTGTGTGTTCAGCAGAGTGCCACCCCTTTGCAGCTTAAAAAGGAAGTTTAGGCTGATTTTAGCCTTTTGGTTTAAGTAATCCAGGATGCTTTAAGGCTGGATTCTCCTGGTGTCGCCCCCTTTTCTCCCCCTTATAACAAGATAAACACACAAACAGTCTTGTAAAAGGCAAAAATCACATTTACACACTGGTGAAAGTAACAAATACAGCAGATTTGTTCCGGAGCAGGCTTAAAAATGCTAATTCAGTGAAAAAGACATGCTTAAGTCTGGAGCTCAGACTTAGCAGGTGATCTGTATTGCTGAATGAGGGCAAACAGGAAAGAGGAGGTGAGGAGATAATATTTGGTTATGCCCTCCCCATGGTGGAATCTAGGTAAAGGTAAAGGGACCCCTGACCACTAGGTCCAGTCGTGGCCGACTCCGGGGTTGCGGCGCTCATCTCGCTATATTGGCCGAGGGAGCCGGCGTACAGCTTCCGGGTCATGTGGCCAGCAGGACTAAGCCGCTTCTGGCAAACCAGAGCAGCGCATGGAAACGCCGTTTACCTTCCCGCCGGAGTGGTACCTATTTATCTACTTGCACTTTGACGTGCTTTCAACCCGCTAGGTTGGCAGGAGCAGGGACCAAGCAAAGGGAGCTCACCCGGTCGCGGGGATTCGAACTGCCGACCTTCTGATCGGCAAGTCCTAGGCTCTGTGGTTTAACCATCACTGTCTTCACTTGCTCACGGAGGAGCCGGTGTACAGCTTCCGGGTCATGTGGCCAGCAGGACTAAGCCGCTTCTGGCAAACCAGAGCAGCGCATGGAAACGCCGTTTACCTTCCCGCCGGAGTGGTACCTATTTATCTACTTGCACTTTGATCTGCTTTTGAACTGCTAGGTGGGCAGGAGCTGGGACAGAGCAACGGGAGCTCACCCCGTCGCGGGGATTCGAACCACCGACCTTCTGATCGGCAAGTCCTAGGGTCTGTGGTTTAACCCACAGCGCCACCTGCGTCTCTATGGTGGAATCTAGACACATATAAAAAAACCGCTGTGAAAATGGTGTGGTTTTTTTAAGCATTCTGAAAAATATATTGAATTTGCCATAAGCACACCATCGCCATCTAGTGTCACATTCGTATACTGCGCTCAAAATGCACTGAAAACATTATATTTGCAGCTGTATAGCAGAGTCCCATGTCAGGGCACAGTGGAAGTAGCACTCAAAGTTCTCTCTAGCAAACTTACAGGAAAACTCTGTGAGCTTCAGTTCATATCATGTGCCTATCAAGCAAACATGCATTGCTGGTTTGACTGCATTGTAAATATCTCGCAGTCCCTTCTCAGGCAAAACTACTTACATTCAAATACACTTTCTTTTTTCCTTTTTTCCCCTTTTTTAAAATTGGTAAATACAACATTCACAAACACAAAACGAAACACAAAACAAACCTATTATACATACAGCTACTTAATACCTAAAAAAAGAATACAATTAAACATACAATAACCAACAAATATCAACTTAAAACACAAAAGAAACAAAACATGAAGACATAAATCTTGACTTCCTTCCACCCATGTGTGACTTCCTTTATTTCTTTTCTTCTTTTTTGCTGTGTTATCAATATTATTTTTAACTATCTCCTCTTATACCCATTTCTTCTTTGTTTTTTACTCTATAAATTTCATTCAAATACACTTTCATTAAAGCACCCAGAAGTTCTCTTGGTAGAGGTTTTGGCACTATCTCTGCACACATCTCTTTGTTGCGGCAATAAGCCAACTCCTCAAATCAGTCTTGGATCACAAAGTGATATTTCACCCTGATGACGGCATTGTAAATATCCCATAGAATTAACAACAATAATTTAAAACATTCAAAGGGTTAAAATAACAACAGACTAAAAACAGGCTAAGGGACGCAGGTGGCGCTGTGGGTTAAACCACAGAGCCTAGGATTTGCTGATCAGAAGGTCGGCGGTCTGAATCCCCGCGACGGGGTGAGCTCCTGTTGCTCAGTCCCTGCTCCTGCCAACCTAGCAGTTCAAAAGCAAGTCAAAGTGCAAGTAGATAAATAGGTACCGCTCTGGTGGGAAGGTAAACGGCGTTTCCCTGCGCTGCTCTGGTTCGCCAGAAGCGGCTTAGTCATGCTGGCCACATGACCCAGAAGCTGTATGCCGGCTCCCTCGGCCAGTAAAGTGAGATGAGCGCCGCAACCCCAGAGTCGGTCACGACTCGACCTAATGGTCAGGGGTCCCTTTACCTTTACCTAAAAACAGGCTAAAACTCCCATCAACTTTCTTTTTTTTTCTTTTTAAAAGAAAAGGATAGGCTTGACTAAACAAAAATGTTTTTAGCAGGTCCCGGAAATAGTGCCGTGAAGACGCCTGCATGTTATCAACTGGCAGGGAGTTCCGAAGTGTAAAAGTGCCACCACAGTAAATGATTGATTTCTTACAGATATGGAATGGATACCAGAGCCAGTTCTGCAGATCAAAGCAGCTGAGAGGGCAGATATGGGGTAAGACGATTATTTGGGTTCAAAAAGAAGAATGGCAGACGAAAATAATGGACTATGCAAAATTGGACAAAACGACAGGAAAGATTCGAAACCTGCGGGACCAGAGATTGACAGAAGATTGGAAGAAGTATACAAACTATTTGAAGAGCAACTGTAATCAACAAATTATGCTAGTAGAACTACAAGAGGTTTTGTAGGGAGAAATATATGAAGTGCTACAAAGTAGATAAAGAACAGAGATATTGGTTATGAGTTTTAAATGTAACAGGGAAAATAAGAAATGTATACTAAGAGATTAGATTGGAAAATGTTCAGACTGGACTGATGGAAGTCAAAATATTGAATAAGATGTAAAAATATGTTTAATTACTGTTGAAAATGGTATGTTAAAAAAAACTAATAAAAATTTATATATATTTTTAAAAACACGATTATTTGGGTTGTCCTTTTCCAAAGGGCCAATTGGCTAGGTAAAGGTAAAGGGACCCCTGACCATTAGGTCCAGTCGTGACCGACTCTGGGGTTGCGGTGCTCATCTTGCTTTACTGGCCGAGGGAGCCAGCGTGCAGCTTCCGGGTATGTGGCCAGCATGACTGAGCGGCTTCTGGCGAACCAGAGCAGTGCATGGAAATGCCGTTTACCTTCCTGCCAGAGCGGTACCTATTTATCTACTTGCACTTTGACGTGCTTTCGAACTGCTAGGTTGGCAGGAGCAGGGACCGAGCAACGGGAGCTCACCCCATCGCGGGGACTCAAACCGCCGACCTTCTGATTGTCAAGTCCTAGGCTCTGTGGTTTAACCCACAGCGCCACCCGCGTCCCGCCAATTGGCTAGGTTCTAATTAAAAGGAGACCAAACAAACTCTACCCAAAACCTCTCTCTGCCTGGACAAACACGAGCCACTCTTTGGAGGGGCGCTGGGCAATAATGCAACCAAGAGACAGGATCTTCATATTACTCTCCAGGCTGAAATGTTTCCAAGAGACCCCTTTGGGCACAGGCAGAAGCACCGAAAGGGGAGAATATTTCACTCAGAACTGCCCATTTATTTGATTTAGCGCAGCTCCTGAAGTGTCCGCCTCAGACAATATAGCAAAAAGGAGGCGTCCAGAAAGCGGGGGAATGCCAAAGTCAGAGAAAGAATAAAATAGTCTGTCAAGGACCGGTTTCCCCTCCATCCAGACTCCAGAGAAGCAACCTGTCTAATTAACCAGTGGAACTCCTTGGCACATGATAGGCACCAGCTTGCGGGGGCTTTCAAAATGGGCCTGGCAGTCAGTTGTGGAGGTGCACTGACAGCTTTCCAAAGCAATAGCAAAAGGACCCGGCGGAGATCTGGATTTTATTTTTAGCCACAACTCTCCCCAACTGCTGGTATTCAGAAGCATACTGCCTCCGACAGGGGAGGTAGAATTGTGGCTAGTAGCCATTTACAGCCCTAACCTTTTCCAATACCCTGTTTGAGCCGAGGCAACCAGAACTGTACGCAGCCTTCTCCATTGTCTGCTCCTTCACAAATCCCGTCTTAAGGGTATGTCTGTGTATGAATAGGGTGAGCTTGTGACCTGGCTCAGGAACTAAGTATTTGCCATTACAAAAGACTGGCCAAACTCCCCAGGTATCCAATCAAGTGACAGGTCTGCCAGACAGGAGGTAAACAATGCACTCAGATTTCTGTTGTAGACCACCTTTTCTGTGATGTACATATGATGTATCTGGGGGTGGTCTTGAGCTACACCCCTTTCTGTGATGTAGGTATGATGTTTCTGGGGGTGGTCTTGAACTCCAGGGTGGGCAATTTAAAATGTCTATATAAGGGTGGGCACACCTTGGTTCTGGGTCCTCCTCCTCCTCCTGCGTGTGAAGGGGTCACCCTGTTGCAACAGTTCAATAAAGATCAGGCTTACTAGCTGCTTTGCTTCTCAATATTCTCTGGTTGGCCTCTGTTATTTTCTCCGACTGATGGAGAACCTACAAAGGACTCTATAAGGGCTCTTGTGTTCCCTGTAAGGGAATAAGGGCAGATTTTTGTTTATCACAGGGGAAAGACCTACTGGGAAGAGTTGAATAAAGAGTTAACTTCAGTGTCACGGGGTTTTTTATTGCTGACTTTCTCCAGCTCCTGACATCCATGAGCAATAAAGAGAACCTGCAAGGTTAGGGGCAGTGTACCTCCAAATGGGACACGGGTGGCACTGTGGGTTAAACCACAGAGCCTAGGACTGATCAGAAGGTTGGCAGTTCGAATCCCCACGACAGGGTGAGCGCCCGTTGCTCAGTCCCTGCTCCTGCCAACCTAGCAGTTGGGCAGGACGTCATAGTGCAAGTAGATAAATAGGTACCGCTCCGGCGGGAAGGTAAACGGCGTTTCCGTGCGCTGCTCTGGTTCGCCAGAAGCGGCTTAGTCATGCTGGCCACATGACCCGGAAGCTGTATGCCAGCTCCCTCGGCCAATAAAGCGAGATGAGCGCCGCAACCCCAGAGTCGGTCACGACTGGACCTAATGGCCAGGGGTCCCTTTACCTTTATCTCCAAATAGCAGGAGTCGGGCACAAGGAATACAGTGGTACCTCGGGTTAAGTACTTAATTCATTCTGGAGGTCCGTTCTTAACCTGAAACTGTTCTTAACCTGAAACACCACTTTAGCTAATGGGGCCTCCTGCTGCTGCCACACTGCCGGAGCACGATTTCTGTTCTCATCCTGAAGCAAAATTCTTAACCTGAAGCACTATTTCCGGGATTAGTGGAGTCTGTAACCTGAAGCAAAGTTCTTAACCTAAAGCACTATTTCCGGGTTAGCGGAGTCTGTAACCTGAAGCGTATGTAACCCGAGGTACCACTGTATGGGAGAACTGCTGCTTCCTGCCTCCCGTCTTTGACCTTCCCAGAAAAATCCAGCGGGATACTATTGGAAACCTAGAACTTCTCTTAGGTCCTTGATAATGAGCTGTGATTCAGGGCTGGACTTGATGACCTTTGGGTAACCTCCCAGCTCAATGATAACCGAATCTTACAGCTCAACAAATCATGGAATCTTGAACTCCAATCCATCTGGACTGAGGAAGAGGCATCTTTTCCCCAGACTCATCACCTCCCCGCATCCTAAATCCACACGTCGTTGGGGGGTGGGGTGGGCTTGAGCGAAATCAATTAACCGCCTTGTGTTGTTGGTTATAAATCAACTATTTACATATTTAATGATTACACCTTTAATAAATCCCCAAGAAGGAGCGCCGAGGCGGCTGGTTTCTGAGCTATTCTTATGGTGTCATCAATTATCGTGAAAGCCAGGCAATCATATTAAATCTTCTCTCCTACCGATGACTCTTGTCAAAGCAAAAATTGTTTCCCGCCCCCCCCCAAACCCGGCACCCTCCCCTCCGCATAGTTGCAAAAGCTCTGGAACGGGGCCACCGACATTACATTAGAAAAATTGCTTGAGCAGCGTTTTAACTAAGAGGGAGGGGGGAGGCAGCTTTTAATTTTTGCCAGACATGGAAATCAATACGCTGTCCTTCATCTCTTTGGAGTGATTGGGGAAGGCCTGGCTAATACAATCCCCAGGTCTCATTCTGACAGCACAAGAGCCTTCAGAAATGATGGCGGAGGCTTTAAGGACCCATCTGGGACTTTGGCAAGGAATTCCTTTTATTAGATTAGTTCCTCTGTCCCTTTTGGAGAGAAAGAGAGAGAATATGTCTCCCTTTCATTATTTTGTAGTTAGTCCATGATCAATATGCGCGGCTTGTATTTATAGCTACCCTGGTGGTTACAACCTTTTGAATGTAATTTATGGTGACATGGAACCCAATTATTATGGGGGAAATATGCGTGACATTTTGGAGAGGGTTTCCTCCCATGTTCCTCTTTAGACTCGTCAGTTCAAGAACTCACACACGAGAAGAGACGGCAATTCTTTAATAGTTTTGTGCTGGGAGGAGCACTTTGTGGGGGGTGGGTGAGCTCACACAAGCAGCTCAGGGTGGTTTTCCAGATTAGGGATGGAGAACCATCATGCCTGGGCAGAATGTGGCCCTCCAGGTCTCTCTACGTGGCCCTCGAGATTCTCATGTCCCCACCCCACCCCAAAACACCCCCCTCTCTAAAGCACTCTTTGAGTATTTACACCTGGCTGGCAGGTAACTCTAATCTGTTGCACGAGTGGCCACCTGTCAGGGATTCTTTAGCTGTGATTCCTGCATTGCCGGGGTCAGACTAGATGGTGTTTGGGGTCCCTTCCAACTCTAAAATTCTACGATTCTGTGATTTTCTTGCTCGCCAGGATGGAGAGGTACGCATCTCTGTCTCCAACGTTTGCATGGCTAGAATGTACAAAGGTAAGAGCTGCATCCATTGACCACACCTCTTTTGTTTTTTGTTTTTTTTAATAATTTTTATTAAAGTTTAAAACAACATAAAACAAAAAAAACAGAAAAACTCACATAAAAATAATACAAAACTTAACAATAAAAACACAAAACACAACAATTAAAAACAAACTCTCTTTTCCATTTCCAATTTTACATGACTTATTTTCTAGACTTCCTCAAACCTCCCTCCTTTGTATTCCAGTCCACATTGTTTGTTCAGCAGTTTCTTTTCCACTTTTTTTTAATCCCAATCTTTAATTTAGTAAAATGTTAAAATATATAACTTCAATTTTTTTTTAACCCTAGTCCTTGGTCTTAATATCATATAACTTTAAAGTTTTCCCTTTTAATATCAAATTTCCATAACTTTAACCTGTGCAGCTGGAAACCACTTGTTTTCAGTCCAACATCACTCTAACATTCCTTAATTTTGCAGTGTTTCTGAAGATAGTCTTTGAATTTCTTCCAGTCTTCCTCCATCGACTCTTCTCCCTGGTCACGGATTCTACCAGTCATTTCAGCCAGTTCCATATAGTCCATAAGTTTCATCTGCCATTCCTCCAGCGTGGGAAGTTCTTGTGTCTTCCAATACTTTGCGATGAGTATTCTTGCTGCTGTTGTTGCATACATAAAGAAAGTTCTATCCTTTTTTAACACCATTTGGCCCACTATGCCCAGGAGGAACCACACCTCTTTTGTCTCCCCCATGGTTCGCCATGGGAGGCTGTGTCCTGCAAAGGCTTCCCTTCTCTCGCCCTGACCTAGCCACTGCGATCCACGCGACAGTCACCTCCAGACTGGATTATTGTAACTCGCTCTACGTGGGGCTGCCCTTGAGACTGACCCAGAAACTCCAGCGGGTGCAGAATGCTGCAGCGAGACTCCTTATGGGGTCTTCGCTGCGAGATCACATTCACCCGATGCTATACCAGCTGCACTGGCTCCCGGTGGAGTACAGGATCAGGTTTAAGGTGCTGG